AAGGGGTCTATAGGGTTCCCTGAAAGGGATCTATAGGGTTCCCTGAAAGGGATCTATAGGGTTCCTTGAAAGGGATCTGTAGGGTTCCTGTAAAGGGATCTATAGGGTTCCTTGAAAGGGATCTACGGGGTTCCTTTAAAGGGATCTATAGGGTTAATTGAAAGGGATCTGTAGGGTTCCTGTAAAGGGATCTATAGGGTTCCTGTTAAAGGATTCAGGGTTAAGGGTTCGGGGTTTAGGGTTAAGGGTTCAGGGATAAATAATTACAGTTAAGGGTTTAAGGTTAAGGGTTTAGGGTTAAGGGTTTAAGGTTCAGGGTTTAAAGTACTGGGTACTTGTTAGCGGTTTGAGTTTAAGTTACCATGATAGGGACCTATGGAGGTTCCTTTAAGGGATCTATAAGGGCTCCTTCAAGGGTTTAAGGTTAAAGGTTTAAGTTACCAAAATAAGGAACCATATTGTTTACTATACCATAGATCCCGATTATGGTAACTCAAATAATATTGACACCAAAAAATACCAATATTATTGGTAGGGTTCCTTATGATAAACATAGTAGGATGGGCCCCAAAACCCTGTTCTAGTTATTAAGGCCCCGATAGTATATTCCTTGTAGAACCCTTATAGATCCCTTTCAGGCTCCTCTTTAGTTTCAAGCAGGGCACTTGGAGGTTCATGGGTAGCTATAAATGGAGGTATAAGTCCCCTTATATGGATTATAAGTATTGTTACCCTACTTCTAACCCCACTTATAACTCCCCATGAACCTCCAAGTAGGGCCTGAATCCTATACCCTTATAGAATCCCTATAGATCCCTTTGAAGGGACCCTTAAAGGAACCCTTCTAGAATCCCGAAAGCTCCCTTCAAAGGGACCCTTAAAGGAACCCTTCCAACTCCCCATGAACCTCCAAGTAACAAGAATCCAGGAAGTAGATCCCCTAATTGGGGCCCGATACTAGTAAGGGTATTTTATAGGAGCCCCCATTAAGGGATCCAACCTTACCCTCCGAGAGGGAGGCCAAGTAGACCAACATCCAAAGGCTCCGAGGATCCTCCGGTGGGTTTCAGCGCTTGAGGATTTCAGGCTTTTTCGGGCGGGGGGGGGGGGGGGGGGGGGCGGGGGAGGGGTGGGGTTAGGCTTATGCCACTTTCTTTAGAACTATAGATTTATACCATTTTTAGAACTATAGGTTTATGCCACTTTCTTTAGAACTATAGATTTATACAATTTTTAGAACTATGGAGGTATACCATCTTAGAGCTATAGAGGTTTTCCGAACTTGTGGATGTCAGGGCACTGCTTTAAAGAACAAGACAAGCATACCCCAGGGCTTCGGTGAAGAAGAAGCTCCCGCTTGCAACGCCCGGGCGCTCAGAGGATGTTCTTTAAGGTTCCCTTTGAAGGGATCTAAAGGGATTCTGTACGGGTATAGGGTTTAGGACCCACTTGGAGGTTCATGGGGAGTTATAAGTGGGGTTATAAGTAGGGTAAATATACTTATAACTCTTAGGGGACTTATAGCTCCGTTTGCAACCACCCGTGAACCTCCAAGAGGGTTTTAGGGGTGTTAACGGTTTGAAGGGCTTAACGGGCTTAGGGCTTTGGAGTTTAGGGGTTAGGGTTTAGGGATGAATGGGTCCTAGAGTGCGGCTTCTCCGCAGGCGCTGGACACATCGAGCAAGGGAGATGGGAAAAGAGGGACCCAGAGAGCGAGAGGATGGTCTGTACCTTGTTTGATCGGGGCTCTGCGTCCGGTTTGCGGTGCGAGTGTCGCCCAGAAGCCGGGACGGCGTTCGAATTGGATTCGTAGTGAAACGAATAGCAAAGCCCAGAGATTCTTGTCCTGATGCTCGCTATGCTCGCCCTTTGTTTTCAACCTCGTAATAATACGACAAGCATAGCAACTACTTCGGCTACTATGGCCATTATCACCACTATCAACACTATCACTGATAATCCCTGGACCCCGAAACTCTACGGTTTTGCGGCTTTGGGTTTAGGATGTACGGTTTAGGGTGTTAACCCTACCGTAGCCGAAGAATCTACCCTTCAAAGGTTCCATATTAGGGTTGCGTGATTCTGAAGAAGTGTAGGTTTTTAAAGACCAAAGGTAAACCTTGGGTACGGCCCCCACTCAGTAATAGTTGAATAATATTCATAATAAAGATATAGTAGGACTTTAGTAGTAGCCCTATTATAGACTCTTACTGTATGGGGGCCGCACCGAAGGTAAACCCTAGCACCTCTTATGAGACCACTGAGCACGAGGATCCTTGGCTCGAAACTTGTGAGTCGTTTGGTCTTAAGCTCACCCTTCAGCTTCAAAGGCATCCCTAGGATTGGTGATATAGATCCTGCATTACCCGTAATAAGGAATATACCATAATTCCCATAGCCTAGCGTCCTTAAGGTAATGCAGGGTTTATATCATTAACCGTATGTACAACACTTCCCCAAGCCCGGGTTGTTGAGGCGCCTATAGCAGTAGTGCACTACTCTCCAGATTCAGCTCCTAAGCCCTAACCCCTGAACCCTAACCCATAAACCCCAAAGGCCTAAAAAAACCTTCAACCCGAAAACCCCAAACCCCAAAACCTAAGCCCGTAAACCCCAAGCTAGTGCTGAGGCTCGAGAGCCTCATCGACCACCTGAACCCACAGCTGGAGGCCGACCTCGGATCAGAGGGCCTGAATACGGTTGATGATTTACCTGGACCCCGAGGAGCCTACCTTTTTTTAGGGTTCCCTAATATGATTTCTTCATATATGTCCTTGAAAAGATAGGTTATTTGGCGGTTGATGATATAAATCCTGCATTACCCATAATAAGGAATAGACCATAATTCCCATAGTTTAGGGTCCTTAAGGTAATGCAGGATTTATGTCGGCCTCATATGTGTAGTCGTCAAAATTAAGGTCCCCTTTTGCGTACCCTAAATATTCGGTGCCGTATTATAATGAAGGACCCAAAAACAGACCCCAATTTTGACAACCACCCATATAGTGGGCCTTAATAGTTGCCTGTACTATGATGTTTTTTGCACTGAGGGGTGGTTTGTGTAGTAAAAGTTATAGCATAAGTTATAGTACCCTTATAAAGCCCTTGTTTTGCAGTACTATAGGGGGGGTTGAAGACTTAGAATAGGATTCCTTTAGGGCGAGTCCTTTCAGGGTTACTATAGGCTTCCTTTAAACGGTTCCTTCAAGGGTTACTATAAGGGGTACCAAAATGGCCGTATAATTAGAGCAGTTTGTGTTCTATAAGGGGTTTAGGGTGAGTATAACGAGTCTAAGTAAGTGATGTGCTATAAATAAGTTCTTTAAGGGTTCTATACGGGGGGTTAAATAGTTACGAGTATCTTTCCGATATAAAAACATATTTCGAAAAGCCTAATGTTAAAGCTTTTCAGGCACCTACATTATAGTATAGATTTCTAGTGGTGGTGAGTGTAAGGGCCATGGTTTTTCGATGTGGATACTCATAAGGGTCTGAGGGCTTCTTTTATGGAGGTTGTCTTCGGTTTTACAGGGATTTTTGGCAGGAGTTCGAAAAGAGGTCTGAGGAAATGTGAATTGTACCCATTAGTAAACCCTGTATAAATATACTATCGTATACGTATCCCACAACCCTAGTCGACGAATTCATGGCTCTACATTCAACTGCCTTCCTTCTGCAACTCTTTTCGCAGGTTATTGATTTTGATTTGTTTTGTCCCCATTCCTCTCTCCCTGTACCCCTCCATGCCGCCACCAACGATCCTAACCCATGACCTTAACCCGTGATCGTAGACTCTAACACCTGTGGCAGCACTCTGTGCAGCTCGAAATCCATGCGGGACCTCGGATCCGTCATCCCACTGCTACTATAGGGGCTTCAATAATTACCAGTACTACTTTGGTGGTTCCTTATAATGATTACAACAAAATGGGCTCAAAAACCTCCATTCTAATGATTAAGGCCCCTACATTACCTGAAGACTGGGTTATGTTGTTTTGAGGATTACCCCGAATTGGAAGCCAAAACCCGTTTAATCCTTCCAGCCCTGTGCACGATCCATTCAAGCCCTCATAACAACTCTGCAGACATGACAATACTGCGATTCCCTGATTGTTGCCACTTGTTAGCCCCTATGTAGCTAATGTCCCAAAAAACGCCCTGATAAAATGCCTGGTTCAAGACCACTGTAACGCCTTGTTTAGTTGTAAGCTCCATTACCAGAACTCTGATACAGCCTAGATTACAAAACCGTAAACCCATAAACCGCCAAACCCCAAATCCGTGAACCCTGAACCACCCCAAAAAGAGCCCTGAAAAGGTGATTTGCGTCGAGCACGAGGTGACTGATCAAGAGGAAGTCTTAAAGCCGGACCCTCTGCAAAGCAGGAAAGGTTACTTCGACGGTAGAGGTGGATGTACCCTAAGTGGGAAGCCTTACTTATAATCCGCTTATATACTGAATTCCTGATCCTGTACCTTCGCCAGCGATGTATTCCTTCAGCCGCCAGGAAGAGCAAGAGCCGCTACTTCTGAGCCAAACAGGCATCTGTAAAAGTGCAAGAGGCTTCGTAGAGAGTCCCTTCAAATTCAGCTTACTGGGCCTTAATATCGGCCCTATTTTGGGGGGTTCCTTATTGCAAGTATAGTATGCTAGACCAAAACCCTATTCTTATTACGTATGGGCGCCTCTTCCCAGTTGCAGTGTGCATGTTCGGTTTTGGACTCGAACGCCCAGGTACTTGAGATCGACCACCTTGGTGGGGGCCTTTGCTACACAGGTGATTTGCATTTAGCGCTACTCCTCACCCGCGGAAGCCATTCCATAAAGCGCTTTGAGAACCCCACCAGTTGCTTTGCAGACTGCACCCTACTATTGTGGAGCAGTGTCGGATGTAGGGAGCTAGCATTATGCTTGCAAGCGACAGTCATTTCGGCTGATCAAAGTTCGATCTGACAGAAGATTTTTAAAGAGATACGACTCGACGAGATATTCATCCAACATGCCGTTGCTGGACTCGCCACTGCTTTACCCAGCACCGAAGGTCCAGTGGTACACACCGACGCCGCGCAAGCCAAGCCACGAGAATCCCCTCGGCATCGTCTTCCCGGAGGATGCAGAGAGGGAGACCATAGTGAGTGGAGCCCAACGTGTGAGGGAAGGATCCTCTCAAGAAGACGTACTGATCGTCAAGATCGATGGCGCACTGGATTTGCTGCCGTCTGACAACTTTGGGCCGCACTACTATTGCGCTACCGCATACTACCCAGGTGAAGGTAGTGCACAGATACATGCAAGGAAGACCGAATTCGCGGTCGGGAAGGCGAATCCCGCGCATCCTGACCTTGACAATTGCATGCTGCAGAAGACTGTCTTGGTACCGTACAATCGGAAGCAACAGCTCCTCATGGTGGAGATCCACGAAGTGGATCCCGAAGATTCAGAGGTGGAGGACTCCTTGATCGGCCAGGCAACACTACCACTGGCAGATCCAAAGATCGAGTCCTCGACAAACTGGCCGCTGTTTCGTGGCTTCGAATCCAGCGGCTCATTGACGCTGCAAGTCAACATCCCCCAAGGGAATTCTGCGAGCCCGAAAACGCTCGATTCTGCGACACCGTCCGTTTGCAAGCGCTCCAGGCGGAGCAATACTCCTCCAAAGGGATTTCCGGAGCCCGTGTCTCCACTTAGCCAGACAGCACCATACAGGTGCAAGCGCTCCGAGCGCAGCGATACTCCTCCGGAGGGATTTCCGGAGCCCGTTTCACCATCCAGAGTGGCGCACCCAACCCTGCTGGAGAGTCTGCGCCATGGACAGCAGACCCCTGAGGAGAAGAAGTGCAAAGCATTCGACAAGGAGTGGACACAGGACATTGGCTCCTCCAAGATCTTCACGGGCTGCACGCCTTGCGATGTGTTTCTGGAGTCCATGCGCAAGGGACCAGACTTGATGGAACACTCGCCATTGCTGAAGTCCCTGATGAGTGGCGTGGATCCCCCTGCCCATGTGAACATCCGTCTCCCCACCCAGGCCGGAGGCAACCTTCAATCGTGCATCAGGCCAGACCAGGCACAGACGGCGTCAGCTGTCTCAGGCAATGTGCAACGCACACCTGCGAGCTATGTTCCAGAAAGGCTACACCAGAGCCATGCGCCGCCCCGCACAAGCTATAATCCAGTCCCCATGCAGCAATCGCTGCTTAGCACATCCAACCCATCCCAGACTCTGCAGTACCGGCAGGCGAGCTACATGCCGCAACTTGTGGGCTATAGCACAGTAAGCCCAATCCAGACTTCAACATACCATGTGCAGCACCGGCAGGCGAGCTACATGCCGCAAGCTGCAGGCCGCAAGCCAATCATCAAGCAACAATCGTTGCTTGGTTCAGTCAGCCCAACCAAGCCTGCAAACTCAAGCAGTGCACAGCACATGCATGCAAGCTACATGTCGTCGCCATCAAGCCAGATGCCAGTAATGCAGCCCCCTCTGCTTGGCACAAAACGGCCAACCGATATTCAGACGACTTCTGCTGTCTCCAGGAGCGTGCAGGCGATGTTCACGCTGCCGACAGCCATGGGAAGCTGCAAACCATACACTATGCAGCAATCGTGCGCTGGCACAGCCAGGCCAACACAGACCATGCCTGCATTCTCAGGCAATGTGCAATACATGCAGATGCAGCCAGCAGGCAAAAGAATCTACCATCCCTTCGCTGGCCAGTACTACACATGCGCGAGATGAAAAAGGGTTGTACTTCCGCAGTGTTTTTGCACGTGCAGAAAGGAAAGCTACACTCCAATCTTGTGAAGCCAAGTGACGCCTTGCTCAGGTTGGCATCTTGCCTGTGCCTCACCCCATTGTCATCCGAACGTACCAGGTGCCGGTGCCTGCAGGTCGTTCACCTCTTAGGTCTGGTTGTGCTCAGGGCTTGTAGGTCATGTGCAAGTCATGGTTCTAGGAATACACTGCCAGTTTGGCAGTGTCCCAACGAGCATGCACGCCTGCACCAGACCATGTGAGAGATGCGCAGGCAAGTGCCTACACTTCCATGTGGTTTACTTCGTACATGCCGGGCGCCGAGTGCTTTTCCCTTGCTTACAGTGGTCTAGATTGGAGTTCTCCTTTGTGTTCGACTACATACACACGTTCGCCCAAATCATTGTGGCTATCCAAGAACATGTGTGCAGGAGTTTGCTAGACTGGTTTTCCTTTTCGAGTTGTCATGAGTTCCAGTTGAACATCATGCTCCGACCCAGCTCTTCCGCTCTTGAGAGGGAGCATTCGTCGCACGTTCTTGGGATCAGTGAGGAGGTGAAGTTTCGACTCTTACCAGCAGCTCCTTGCTCAGGTGGGGAGTCATCTTCACCCGCTCGCAGCGCATGCCCCTCTACGACTGGAAGAAGATTCGCTTCGTGCGCCCACCGCAGGGCAGTGTTACAGGGCATGTATGTATGCATGCATGACATACGCCATGAACATACTTATATACCTGTATCTGGATAGAGAGAGAGAGGAGAGAGGGAGAGAGAAAGAGAGAGAGCGAGAGACAGACCTGTCAGTCATCGGAAGTGTCCCAGACCTCCAAGACTTTCATGTTCAGGATCAGAAACTCCTCCTGCGAATGCAAATGGTACAGACAGTCGTAGCTACTTCTCAGATTCTGCATTTATTTAGGACAGCACACATGATGTTCGTAGCACAGCCGACCTCAATGCCGCACAGGCCTGTACTGCAAGCTATCGGGGGACCGCCAACCTAGAAGACAAAGCTGCCTATAAAGGGTCCTGTTGGGTTTAGAGTTTCCTGTAAGGGCTTAAGATTACAACTTTGGTAAGAGTACTGCAGATACCCGTGACATCGTGCAACAGAACTGTATTGTAAGACTCTTGCAAGCAGCCTGTTTATCGAAGGGACACCACGACGATCACAAAGGTCTTCTGTACAGATACCAACCCAGCGCCCTTTGTTTAAAAATCTTTAGCAGCTGGTACGTTGCCGGTTTATGGAAAGCCCATGTCATGGACTGAGTCGCCTTCCCCCTTACAGTACAGTAAATCCCATAAAGTTGGAAACAGGATTAAGGCCAAATAGTGCTGGGATTCCCTCTAAATTGCTCCTAAGGATCGAGGCTATGGGGTTTCCAACTTTTGGGCTTCTACGGTAGGTATTCAGAGCTTGTCGCGCCGCAGGTCGTCATCAACCAGTGAGCATGCGACGCTCAGGCTCCAGAGGGAGGGCTGGAAGCGGTCGCAGATCAACAGGTTGGTTCTGGAAAGCGTCTGTTTGCAGAAAACAAGACATTCACCACAGTTCGCTTCAAGCTTTCTTCATGTTGGCTTGCCTGCCGCGTCTATGCATGGCCGGTGAGTGCTTGGTCGGCCAGAAAAAGTTCAGCATGAGCAGAAGTGGAAGTTGTCAGAAGGTCATGCAAACCCAAGCAGGCTCCTAAGATTGATATGCCATTAACAAGAATGGCTGGGCAGAGGCCCATCTGCATCTGGGCGTCTCGTAAGTCGCAGGAGATGAAGTTCGTACTTTCCACAGTCTCCGTGCCCGCTACACCACTATGTGTAGATATGTAATACTGGAGCTTTGTTACGATTTCAAGTAGCAGTCGTGCACCCTGCTCGCATTGTATGCAGAACTGCCCGGGCAGCCCACGTTCTTGGAAGTCGGCGTCATGTTCACGGACCGCAGCTTCCGTATCTTGGACCAAGCACCTCCGATGTCGGTAGTCGTCGAAAGTACCCTGAATATTAGGTGCCGTATTATAATAGGGACCCTAAAAGGGACCATAGTTTTGACAACCACCCATGTTCAGGAAGCACCAACCAGAGAGTCCGGCAAATGTTGTTCCCAAGCTTTCAGTTCGATAAACAGCCGAACAAGAAGTGCCGCTGTACTTGGAGCGTGCTGGCATCCTTGGACCGTAGGCCCTAAGCCCGAAACCTATGCCACTGAAACCAACCGGACAGGAAAACTGTGCATCTACGCATTCCCTCAAAGCCTGCGAGACCCGGCCGAGATCAGGCTAATCTGAAAGGTCCAGACACCCAAGATCGTATTCGGACTTATAAACATGTTTGTTCCGGTTTCGTCTAGTCTAGAGTCTAGAGACTAGGATTTCTTGGGTTGTTGCAAACATTCGAACGCATTAAAGTTAAAAACACAACCACACCAAAACCTATACAAGGACGATAGAACCCAGCAAATGTGAAACTCGATTTGAGCGATTCCTGCGAATTCGGAAAGCACAATGCGACGGCCTGCCGCCAGAGGGCCATGCGTTCGACTCAGAAGGTGCATTGCGTAGCAGAGCTCCAGTCCCGAGCGAGCTGTTGATATGGAGTAGACACGCACGCACGCACGCACACGCACGTACACACGCACACACACACACACGCACACACACACACACGCAGGCACGCGCACGCAGGCACGCGCACGCGCACCCGCACGCGCACGCGCACACGCACGGGCGCGCGAGCGAGTGATCCCGCTGAGGGAATTGTTTGCTCTGATTGTGAGTACTGAGGTTTGAATTTGACGAGCTGTCTGAGCGCGAGGACGAGGACGAAGCCCAAGCTACCCTTCAACTAAGGAGTAGACAGATTTGTGTACAGGGTCTATGGAGCTTTAGCCCTTTGCTTTTGATTGTTGCCGTAGGTGATCGTTTTATTCAGAAATCCAGGCTGAACACTAGAGAAGAAGCTACCGCTGCCATTGAAAATCCTACAGAGGAACCACGCGCTTTCCTCGTTTTCGAGTCAAGCATTCGCATTCGGACCCCTTGCGTGTTTATTGTGTTGATTGCACATCAGCAATCGTTTCTTCCATCCTCTAAGCCACTGGCGTGCATGCCAGCGGAAAAGGGTGACGATAGCGACATTGCTGGATGAATGCTCTTGGATTCCGAATAGGAAAGAAAGACAACAAGAAAACCGTAGGAAGTCTATAGGACAACAGACGGCTACAACGAACATGTCATCCTGAAGGCTAAGGAACCCAAGCCCTGAAGGAGGTGACCTGCGTCGAGCACGAAGTGACTGACCAAGAGGACGTTTGAAAGCCGGGCCCCTCAGCGGATCAGGAAAGGCTACTCAACCGATCAAGGGACAGACGTTTTAGGTTACAAGAAAGGATAAATGCACCCTAGCTGGAATCCCTACGTATAAAAACCCTACTTACTGAGTGATTGATCCTGTAAGAAGGGGATCGACAGGGGTTGCGATTTGGGTGATTTTGGAGTGCAGGGTTTACCAGTTCAGAGCATGGCGTTTTACGGCCGCAGGGTTTTAACGTCGGGTACGGCATCGGGGCCTTAATAATTAGAATATGGTTTTGGGGTTCCCTATTATAGGTATAGTATGATATCCCTTAAAACTCTATTCTAAATATTAAAGCCCGTAGATCATCGAGCCTTTATAGTATTACTTATAGTAACCCTTATAAAAAAACAAAACCTTTGAAGGAACCCTGCTCTATTTATTAAGGTCCCTACTTTACAACTTCTAGGCCCTGTTGGCGAAGGCCCCGGAGAGAAACTACTTCTGAGTGAGAAAGGCATCTGCAAACACGCAGAGTTCGTTCTTGGAGGTTCATGGGTAGTTATGAGTGGGTTGAGGGTTTAGGGTTCATGGGCAGTTATAAATGGCGTTATAAGTCCCCTAATATGGGTTATAACTATAGTTGCCCTACCTATAAACCCCCACTTATAACTACCCATGAACCTCCTAGTAGGCCCTTAACCCTACACCTTGGTAGAATCCCTAAAGATCCGTTTAAAGGGACCCTTGAAGGAACGCTCATAACTACCCAATGAACCTCCAAGTTGAGAGTCCCTTCAACTTGTAAGTTTGTTGTGCCTCAAGCATGCTCGCACGGCTTCCCAGGTGCAGGGTGCATAAAGTTTAGCCTGGGCTCTCAAAACGGATCGTGCCATAGCGGTAGGAGCTTAGTGACAACGCCCAGGTGCTTGAGAAGGATCACGTTCGTCGGGGCCTTTGCCACACGCGTGATCTGCCTTGGCTTTGAGAAGGGCTGAGAGTTGAGGTATCGGTGCTTCGAAGCATTTGGAGCTGCTGTGCCTCAGCCGTGCAAGCCATTCATTCCATAAAGCGCCGTGACGAACCCCTGCTGAGCACAGGCTTTGCAGACTTCGCTTTACCATTGTGGTGCAGTGTCGGATGCAGGGTGCTGGCATTATGCTTGCAAGCGACAGTCATTTCGGCTGATCCAAGGTGTATGACATAGAAGTCCCTTTTGTGAGATACGACTCTCCGAGCTTTTCATCCAGCATGCCGTTGCTGGACTCGCCAGTGCTATACCCAGCACCGAAGGTCCAGTGGTACACACCGACGCCGCGCAAGCCGAGCCACGAGAATCCCCTCGGCATCGTCTTCCCGGAGGATGCAGAGAAGGAGACCATGGTGACTGGAGCGCAGCGTGTGAGTCAAGGATCCCCTCCAGAAGACGTAATGATCGTCAAGATCGATGGCGCACTGGATTTGCTGCCGTCTGACAACTTTGGGCCGCACTACTACTGCGCTACAGCATATTACCCAGGCGAGGGTAATGCACAGGTACATGCGAGAAAGACCGAATTCGCGGTCGGGAAGGCGAATCCCGCGCATCCTGACCTTGACAATTGCATGCTGCAGAAGACTGTTGTGGTACCCTACAATCGGAAGCAACAGCTCCTGATGGTGGGGATCCACGAAGTGGATCCCGAAGATTCAGAGGTGGAGGACTCCTTGATCGGCCAGGCAACACTACCACTGGCAGATCCAAAGATCGAGTCCTCGACAAACTGGCCGCTGTTTCGTGGCTTCGAATGCAGCGGCTCATTGACGGTGCAAGTCAACATCCCCCAAGTGAATTCTGCGAGCCCGAAAACGCTTGATTGTGCGACACCATCCGTTTGCAAGCGCTCCAATCGGAGCAATACTCCTCCAAAGGGATTTCCGGAGCCCGCGTCTCCACTCAGCCGGACAGCACCATACATGCGCAAGCGCTCCGATCGCAGCGACACTCCTCCGGAGGGATTTCCAGAGCCCATTTCACCATCCAGGAGGGCGCACCCAACCCTCCTGGAGAGCTTGCGCCATGTAACACAGACATCCGAGGAAAAGAAATGCAAAGCATTCGATGAGGATACGCAGACAAAGGACATTGGCTCCTCCAAAATCTTCACTGGCTGCGCACCTTGCGATGTGTTTCTGGAGTCCATGCGCAAGGGACCAGATTTGTTAGAGCACTCGCCATTGCTCAAGTCCCTGATGAGTGGCGTGGATCCCCTTGTCGATCCAGACATCCGTCTCCCCACCCAGGCCGGAGGCAACCACCTTCGATCGTGCATCAGGGCAGACCAGGCTCAGCCGGCGTCAGCCATTTCAGGCAATGTGCAACGCACACCTGCGAGCTGCATGCCAGCAAGGCCACACCAGAGCCACGTGCCGCCCCGCACAAGCTACAATCCAGTCCCCCTGCAGCCCCTGCAGCAGCCGCTGCTTGGCACATCCAACCCACCCCAGACTCTGCAGTACCGGCAGGCGAGCTACATGCCGCAATTTGCGGGCTATAGCACGGTAAGCACAACCCAGACTTCAACATACCATGTGCAGCACCGACAGGCGAGCTACATGCCGGAAGTTGTGGGCTTTAGCACAGTAAATGCAACCCAGACTTCAACAAACCATGTGCAGCACCGGCAGGCGAGCTACATGCCGCAAGCTGCAGGCCGCAAGCCAATCATCAAGCAACAATCGTTGCTTAGCGCAGTCAGCCCAACCAAGCCTGCAAACTCAATCAGTGCACAGCACATGCATGCAAGCTACATGTCGTCGCCATCAAGCCAGATGCCAGTAATGCAGCCCTCGCTGCTTGGTACAAAACGGCCAACCGACATTCAGACGACTTCTGCTGTCTCCAGTAGTGTGCAGGCGATGTTCACGCTGCCGACAGCCATGGGAAGCTGCAAACCATACACTCTGCAGCAATCGTGCGCTGGCACAGCCAGGCCAACACAGACCACGCCTGCATTCTCAGGCAATGTGCAATACATGCAGATGCAGCCAGCAGGCAAAAGAAGCTACCATCCCTTCGCTGGCCAGTACTACACATGCGTGAGATGAAAAAAGGGTTGTACTTCCGCAGTGTTTTTGCACGTGCAGAAAGACAGCTACACTCCAATCTTGTGCAGCCAAGTGACGCCTTGCTCAGGTTGGCATCTTGCCTGTGCCTCGCCCCATTGTCGTCCGAACGTACCAGGCGCCGGTGCCTGCAGGTTGTTCACTTCTTAGGTCTTGCTGTGCTCAGGGCTTGGAGATCTGAAGCAAGTTCATGGTTCTAGGAATGTGCTGCCGATTTGGCAGTGGCCCAGCACAGACCATTCGAGAGATGCGCAGGCAACTGCTTACACTTCCATTGGTCCATGTGGCTCTGCCGGGCGCCGACTGCCTTGTCCGTGCTTACATTGATCTTGTGTTCGACTACATACACACGCTCGCCCAAGTCAGTGTCGCCACTCTGGACATTTGTTCAGGATTGTGCTAGATTCTAGAGTGGTTGTTTTTGCCGGTTGTCATGAGTTCCAGTCAACAGCTTCGGAGGAAGCATACGTTGTACATACCTGTACCTAGATCGAAAGACTAACTATTCATTTGTGCTGTCCCTGGCCTTCAAAACTTGATGTTCAGGATCAGAGACTCCTCCTGCGAATGCAAACGACATTGACAGAATCGTAGCTATTCTGCATTTATGGAGTTCAGGATTTGGGCCCAGGGCAGCAAACACGTTGTCTCATAGTCGAGCTGTCCTTATTACGCCGCACAATCCTGTAATGCAACTGGTGCTGCGATGTAAGAAACGCCAACTCCTGCAAATCCGGAAAGCACGATACATCGGCCACCCTCCACTCCAATCCCAAGAGAGCCGTCAACATGGCGTAGACACACACACACACACACAGAGACATGGAATTCCTTGAACCCACTGAGGAGATTCATATCTCCACTTATGACAATTGTGATCCAAACCCTCCTATTCAGTCATAACTCGTACTTAGGTGTCACCTACTTGCTAAGTCCCTGCCACCCCCGAAGTAGCCCCAAAACACCCCACGGAAGGGACCCTCTTAGAAACCACCATCCGCTTGAAGCTTCTTTGGAACCCCCGTGCCATGAACCCGTCACAACTCAATAATAGGCCTGCTTTCTGCTCAGGTTCGATCGACCGTGACGAGCTTTCGGAGAGCGAGGGCGAGGACCCGCGGTCCCCCCACCGTGGGGGTCGGGGTTATGAGTACCTTAAAAAAAGTGGCTTTCATAAGGGCTGTATAGGGTGGAATATAGGGGCCTAAGTCATTAGTCCCATTTTTCCTGCACATTCCTGAGGGCTCCTTCGTATAACCAGACACATATACTAAAATGTATCCCAAAACCTTTTTTCGTATACATACTATACTACTATAATGTATCCCAAACCCTATTTCTTATACATACTATACTACTACAATGTATCCCAAACCCTATTTCTTATATATATATATATATATATATATATATGCTATAAGTTATCCCGAAACCTTCTATTTCTTATTGTTAAGGGCCCCAGATGAAATTCAATACTACAGGGTCCTTAATAATTACCTATGCTATTTTGGTGGTTCCTTATTGCAATTATAGTATAATGGGCCCCGAAACCCTATTCTGATTGCAAAGGCCCCTACATTCGCTGTTCTATGCCGTTTTAGCCCTTTACTTTTGACTGGTATTTGGGTGAGCCTCTTTTCCGGGATGAACAACTGCCGTTCCCGTCGATGAGCTTGCACGGGGAACTCGGTGCCCTAAGTGTCTGTTGTGTTGAGTGCACGTCAGCACTCCGTTCCTCGATCCGCCAGGCCACTGACTCGTCTGCCAGCGGAAGACGATGAATTTAGTGTCCTGTTTTGATGTTTGAGTATTCTCGACTTCTGCGTCATGGGAACAGGCACATCGGTCTTGTCATGCTGAAGGCCCCTCCTGGATGAGCTTGTCCTTGCGTGCCCCACGCGAGGACGAAGCCCTGAAGAGGCGATCTGCGTTGAGCGCGGGGTGGCTGATCAAGAGGAAGTCTTAAAGCCGGGCCCTCATCAGATCAGAAAAGGTTGCTTAAACGACCGAAGGACGGAGTAAGTAGGTTCTCAGTAGAGGTAGATGTACCCGAAGTGGGAAGCTCTAGTTCTAAGCTGCTTAATTCTGCTCCAGTTGGGTCAGGCTCTGACCGTGGCCTTTCTCCGTTCATCCGGGTTTGTCCTTTGTGCCACCTACTGGCTCATCTTCTGCTGCCATCCTTTTTCTGGGCGGGTTCACCGCATGATCTGCCGAAACGTTTCGAGCCCAGCCCTATATGAAAAAGAATGGTGCAAGTAATGGCAAGTCACGACCCAGGCTCTTTTTACAACCGTGCTCCAATCCTTGCCTGACACCATTCATCTCAACACTCACCAAGAAGTGTTCCTTGGATTGCGTTTTGGAGCTGTTCTGTAAAGGCAACAAGAAGCGTTTGGAAATTTCAACACGACGCTTTGCGTCCCTGCTTCTTAACCGACTAGATTCAGGATCAGAGACTCTTTCTGCCCGCGCAAATACACAAGTAAGTGTAGGTACATAAAACTTGCGGGGGGGTGGAGCTTGCCGACAAACGCCCAGGTACTTGAGATGGACCACCTTGGTCGGGGCCTTTGCTACGCACATGAGAAGGGCTGAGAGTTGAGGCATCGGTTTCGAGTGCTTCGAAGCTTTTGGAGCTGCTGTGCCTCAGCCGTGCAAGCCACTCCATAAAGCGCCGTGACGAACCCCTGCTGAGCACTGGCTCGGATGTAGGGTGCTGGCATTATGCTCGCAATCGACAGTCATTTCGGCTGATCACAGGTGTATGGCATAGAAATCCCTTTTGTGAGATACGACTCTCCGAGCTTTTCATCCAGCATGCCGTTGCTGGACTCGCCAGTGCTATACCCAGCACCGAAGGTCCAGTGGTACACACCAACGCCACGGAAGCCCAGCCATGAGAATCCCTTCGGCATCGTCTTCCCGGAGGATGCAGAGAAGGAGACCATGGTGACTGGAGCCCACCACGTGAGGGAAGAAGCCCCTCCGGAACACCTGATGGTGGTCAAGATCGATGGCGCACTGGATTTGCTGCCGTCAGACAACTTTGGGCCGCACTTCTATTGTGCCACAGCGTACTACCCAGGTGAGAGTAGCGCAGAGATAAACTATCTGTGCATTACCCTCGCCTGGGTAGTATGCTGTGGCGCAGTGGCGCTGCAAGTCCACATCCCCCAAGGGAATTCTGCGAGCCCGAAAGCGCTCGATTCTGCGACACCGTCCGTTTGCAAGCGCTCCAGGCGGAGCAATACTCCTCCAAAGGGATTTCCGGAGCCCGTGTCTCCACTTAGCCAGACAGCACCATACAGGTGCAAGCGCTCCCAGCGCAGCGATACTCTTCCGGAGGGATTTCCAGAGCCCGTTTCACCATTCAGCGTGGCGCACCCAATTTTTCTGGAGACTCTGCGTCATGGACAACAGACACCGGAGGAGAAATTCTAATTATTAGGGCCGCCACAGTATTGGCAGAGGCCCCGACTTGGGAGCCGACAGAGGAGAGGCTGCCGGGGCTCCCCATGTCTGGGTTCTTGTTGAAGGATTCAGGGTTTAGGGCTAAGGATTCAGGGTTTAGGGCTAAGGATTCAGGGTTTAGGGTTAAGGGTTCGGGGTTAAGGATTTACAGTTCAGGGTTTAAGGTTAAGGGTTTAGGGTTCGGGGTTTAGGGTTATGGGTCCAGGGTTAAGGATTTACAGTTAAGGGTTTTAGGTTAAGGGTTTGGGGTTAAGGGTTTAAGGCTCAGGGTTTAGGGTACTGGGTTCTTGTTAACGGATTGAGTTTAAGTTACCATGATAGGGATCTATGGAGATTCCTTCAAGGGATCTATAGGGGCTCCTTCAAGGGTTTAAGGTTTAAGGTTTAAGTTAGCGTAATGAGGAACCAAATTATTTACTATACTATAGATCCCTATTATGGTAACTCAAGTAATATCGAAGCCTAAAAAACAGCATTATTAGTTATTGTTAGGGCTCCTTATTATAGTTAGAGTAGAATGGGCCCCAAAACCCTATTCTAGTTATTAAGGCCCCTATAGTATATTCCTTACAGAACCCTTATAGATCCCTTTAAGGAACCCTTTAAAGCACCCTATTCTAGTTATTAAGGCCCCTATATTATGACTGTGCTCTTTTCAGGCTCCTATTTAGTCTCAAGCACGGCACTTGGAGGTTCATGGGTAGCTATAAATGGAGGTATAAGTCCCCTAATATGGGCTATAAGTATAGTTATCCTACTTATAACCTTGGTCTACTTGGAGGTTCATGGGGAGTTATAAGGGTCCCTTTAAGGGTCCCTTTCAAGGGATCTAAAGGGGTTCTATAAGGGGTATATAGGGTTTAGGGTCTACTTGGAGGTTCATGGGGAGTTATAAGTAGGGTAAATATACCTATAACCCATATTAGAGGACTTATAGCTCCATTTACAGCTACCCGTGAACCTCCAAGAAGGTTCTAGGGGTGTTAACGGTTTGAAGGGCTTAACGGGTTTAGGGCTTTGGAGTTTAGGGGTTAGTGTTTAGGGTTTACGGATGAATGGGTCCTAGAGTGCGGCTTCTCCGTAGGCTCTGGACACATCGAGCAAGGGAGATGAGAAAGAGGGGGCCAGAGAGCGAGAGGATCGTCTGTACGTTGTTTGATCGGGGCTCTATGTCCGGTTTACGGTGCGAGTGTCGCCCAGAAGCCGGGACGGCGCTCGCCTTGAATTCGTAGAGAAACGAGTAGCAAAGCCGAGAGATTCTTGTCCTGACGCTCGCTATGCTCGCCGTTTGTTTTCAACCTTGTAATAATACAACAAGCATAGCAACTACTTCGGCTACTATGGCCATTATGTCTACTACCACCACTACAATCAACACTATCACTGATAAACCCTGAACCCCGAAACTCTACGGTTTTGCGGCTTTGGGTTTAGGATGTACGGCTCAGGGTGTTTTCCCTACCGTAGCCGAAAAATCTACCCTTGGAAGGTTCCATATTGGGGTTGCGTGCTTCTGAAGAAGTGCCCTAAACCCCTTATGAGACCACTGAGCCCGAGGATCCTTCGGTCGAAACTTGTGAGTTCAGTTTCAAAGGTATCCCTATGTACAAAACTTCCCCAAACCATTATTCCCATACTTTAGGTTCCTTAAGGGAATGCAGGATTTATATCATCAACCGTATCCACAAAACTTCCCCAAACCCGGGTTGTTCAGGCGCCTATAGCAGTAGTGCACTACTCTCCAGATTCAGCTCCTAAACCCCGGCCCTAACCCCTGAACCCTAACCCATAAACCCCAAAGCCTTAAACAACCCTTCAACCCTAAAACCCCAAACCCCAAAACCTAAGCCCGTAAACCCCAAGCTAGCGCTGAGGCTCGAGAGCTTCATCGACCACCTGAACCCACAGCTCGAGGCCGAGTTACGGATCACACGGCCTCATATGGGTAGTTGTCAAAATAAAGGGTCCCTTTTTGCGTACCCTAAATATTCGGTGCCGTATTATACTGAGGACCCAAAAAGGGACCCTAATTTTGACAACCACCCATATAGTGCGCCTTAATAGTCTGTACTATGTTTTTGTTTTTTGCACTGGGAGGGTGGTTTGTGTAGTATAAGTTATAGCATAAGTTATAGTACCCGTATAAAGCCCTTGTTTTGCAGTACTATAGGAGGGGTTGAATAATTAGAATAGGATTCCTTTAGGGTGAGTCCTTTCAGGGTTACTATAGGCTGCCTTTAAACGGTTCCTTCAAGGGTTACTATAAGGGGTACCAAAATGGCTGTATGATTGGAGCAGTTTGTGTTCTATAAGGCGTTTAGGGTGAGTATAACGAGTCTAAGTAAGTGATATGCATAAATAAGTTCTTTAAGGGTTCTATACGGGGGTTTTAATAGTTACGAGTATCGTTCAGATATGAAAACATGCTTCAAAAACCCTAATGTTAATGCTTTTCAGGCACCTACATTATAGTATAGATTACTGGTGTTGGTGAGTGTAAGGGCCATGGTTTTTCGATGTGGATACTCAAAAGGGTCTGAGGGCGTCTTTCATGGAGGTTGTCTACGGTTTTACAGGGATTTTTGGCAGGAGTTCGAAAAGAGGTCTGAGGAAATGTGACTTGTACCCATTAGTAAACCCTGTAAAAATATATTGCAGTATACGTATCCCACAACCCTAGTCGACGAATTCATGGCCCTACATTCAACTGCCTTCCTTCTGCAACTCTTTTCGCAGGTTACGGTTATTGATTTTGATTTTGATTTGTCCCCATTCCTCCCTCCCTGTACCCCTCCATGCCGCCACCAACGATCCTAACCCATGACCTTAACCCATGACCGTAGACTCTAACTCTAACACCTTTGGCAGCACTCTGTGCAGCTCGAAATCCGTGCGGAACCTCGGATCCCTCAGCCCACTGCTACTATAATTGCTTCAAAAATTACCAATACCATTTTGGTGGTTCCTTATTATAATTACAAAAAATGGGCTCAAAAACCCCATTCGAATGATTAAGGCCCCTACATTACCTGAAGACTGGGTTCTTTTGTTTTGAGGATTACCCCGAATTGGAAGCAGAACCCGTTTAATCCTTCCAGCCCTGTGCACGATCCATTCAAGCCCTCATAACAACTCTGCAGATATGACAATACTGCGATTTCCTGATTGTGGCCACTTGTTAGCCCCTATGCAGCTAATGTCCCAAAAAAACGCCCTGATAAAATCTCTGGTTCAAGACCACTGTAACGCCTTGTTTAGTTGTAAGCTCCATTACCAGAACTCTGATACAGCCTAGATTACAAAACCGTAAACCCATAAACCGCCAAACCCGAAATCCGTGAACCCTAAACCATCCTAAAAAGAGCCCTGAAAAGGTGATTTGCGTCGAGCACGAGGTGACTGATCAAGAGGACGTCTTAAAGCCGGACCCTCTGCAAAGCAGGAAAGGTTACTTCCACGGTAGAGGTGGATGTACCCTAAGTGGGAAGCCTTACTTGTAATCCGCTTGTATCCTGAATTCCTGATCCTGTACCTTTGCCAGCGACGCATTCCTGCAGCCGCCAGGAAGAGCAAGAGCCGCTACTGTTGAGCCAAACAGGCATCTGTAAAAGTGCAAGAGGCTTCCCAGAGAGTCCCTTCAAATTGAGCTAACTGGGCCTTAGTATAGGCCTAAACCATTACCAATACTATTTTGGGGGTTCCTTTTTATAAGCATAGTATACCATACCAAAACCCTATTCTTCTTACGTATGGGCGCCTCTTCCCAGTTGCAGTGTGCATGTTTGGTTTGGAACTCGAACCCCCAGGTACTTGAGATCGACCACCTTGGTGGGGGCCTTTGCTACACAGGTGATTTGCATTTGGTGCTACTGTGCCTCACCCGCGGAAGCCATTCCATAAAGCGCTTTGAGAACCCCACCTGTGCTTTGCAGACTGCACCTTACTATTGTGGTGCAGGGTCGGATGTAGGGTGCTGGCATTATGCTAGCAAGCGACAGTCATTTCGGCTGATCAAAGTTCTGTCTGACAGAAGATTTTTAAAGATATACGACTCTACGAGATATTCATCCAACATGCCGTTGCTGGACTCGCCACTGCTTTACCCAGCACCGAAGGTCCAGTGGTACACACCGACGCCGCGCAAGCCGAGCCACGAGAATCCGCTCGGCATCGTCTTCCCGGAGGATGCAGAGAAGGAGACCAAGGCGCGTAGAGCCCAACGTGTGAGGGAAGGATCCTCTCCAGAAGACGTGATGCTCGTCAAGATCGATGGCGCACTGGATTTGCTGCCGTCTGACAACTTTGGGCCGCACTACTATTGCGCTACGGCGTATTACCCAGGAGAGGGTAATGAACAGATACATGCGAGAAAGACCGAATTCGCGGTCGGGAAGGCGAATCCCGCGCATCCTGACCTTGACAATTGCATGTTGCAGAAGACTGTTGTGGTACCGTACAATCGGAAGCAACAGCTCCTGATGGTGGAGATCCACGAAGTGGATCCCGAAGATTCAGAGGTGGAGGACTCCTTGATCGGCCAGGCAACACTACCACTGGCAGATCCAAAGATCGAGTCCTCGACAAACTGGCCGCTGTTTCGTGGCTTCGAATCCAGCGGCTCATTGGCGGTGCAAGTCCACATCCCTCAGGTGAATTCTGCGAGCCCGAAAATGCTCGATTGTGCGACACCATCCGTTTGCAAGCGCTCCAGGCGGAGCAATACTCCTCCAAAGGGATTTCCAGAGCCTGTGTCTCCACTCAGCCGGACAGCACCATACATGCGCAAGCGCTCCGAGCGCAGCGACACTCCTCCGGAGGGATTTCCAGAGCCCCTTTCACCATCCAGAGTGGCGCACCCAACCCTCCTGGAGAGCGGGCGCCATGGAAAACAGACACCCGATGAGAAGAAGTGCAAAGCATTCGATGAGGATATGCGGACAAAGGGCATTGGCTCCTCCAAGATCTTCACTGGCTGCGCATCTTGCGATGTGTTTCTGGAGTCCATGCGCAAGGGACCAGATTTGTTACAGCACTCGCCATTGCTCAAGTCCCTGATGAGTGGCGTGGATCCCCTTGCCGACGTGGACATCTGTCGCCCCACCCAGGCCGGAGGCAACCAGCTCCAATCGTGCATCAGGCCAGACCAGGCACAGACGGCGTCAGCTGTCTCAGGCAATGTGCAACGCACACCTGCGAGCTACGTGCCAGCAAGGCCACACCAGAGCCACGCGCCGCCCTGCACAAGCTATAATCCAGTCCCCATGCAGCAATCGCTGCTTGGCACATCCAACCCACCCCAGACTCTGCAGTACCGGCAGGCGAGCTACATGCCGCAAGTTGTGGGCTATAGCATAAGTGCAAACCAGACTTCAACATACCATGTGCAGCACCGGCAGGCGAACTACATGCCGCAAGCTGCAGGCCGCAAGCCAATCATCAAGCAACAATCGTTGCTTGGCACAGTCAGCCCAACCAAGCCTGCGATCTGGAGCAGTGCACAGCAAATGCATGCAAGCTACATGCCGTCGCCGGCAAGCCAGAAGCCAGTAATGCAGCCCTCGCTACTTGGCACAAAACGGCCAACCGATATACAGACGACTTCTGCTGTCTCCAGTAGTGTGCAGGCGATGTTCACGCTGCCGACAGCCATGCGAAGCTGCAAACCATACACTATGCAGCAATCGTGCGCTGGCACAGCCAGGCCAACACAGACGATGCCTACATTCTCAGGCAATGTGCAGTACATGCAGATGCAGCCAGCGGGCACAAGAAGCTACCATCCCTTCGCTGGCCAGTACTACGCATGCGTGAGATGAAAAACAGCTGTACTCTTGCAGTGGTTTTGCACGTGCAGAAAGGAAAGCTACACTCCAATCTTGTGCAGCGAAGTGACGCCTTGCTCAGGTTGGCATCTTGCCTGTGCCTCACCCTTTTGCCATCACAGCGTACCAGGCGCCGGTGTTTGCAGGTCGTTCACCTCTTACGTCTGGTTGTGCTCAGTGCTTGGAGGTCATAAACAAGTAATAAGCAAGTTCATGGTTCTAGGAATGCACTGCCAGGCAGTGTCCCAGCGAGCATGCACGCCTGCAACAGACCATTTGAGAGATGCGCAGGCAAATGCCTGCACATCCATGTGGTTCACTTCGCACATGCCAGGCGCCGACTGCCCGTCCCATGCTTACAGTGGTCTAGATTGGAGTTTTCATTTGTGTTCGACTACATACACAAGTTCGCCCACGTCCGTGTCGCCATTCTGGACCATTCGTTCAGGAGTTTGCTAGACTGGTTGCATTTTTCCAGTTGTCATGAGTTCCAGTTCAACATCATGCTCCGACCCAGCTCTTCCGCTCTTGGAGGTACCCTTGATCGAAAGAACCAATCATTCATTTGTGCTGTCCCTGGCCTCCAAAACTTGATGTTCAGGATGAGAAACTCCTCCTGCAAATTCAGAGCAAGATTGAGAGAATCGTAAGTAGCTATTTCTCAGATTCTGCATTTCTGGAGTTCAGGATTTGGGCATAAGGCATCAAACATGTTTTTTCATACTCGATCTGTCGTTACTATGCCGCACAATCCAGTAATGCAACTGGTGCTGGGCGACCGCAAATGTGTAATTCGGTTTGAAGAATGCCAACTCCTGTAAATTCGGACGGAAACCAGGATACATCGGCCACCCACCAGACCTTCAAAAGATCGACAAAGCCGTCAACAGGGCGTAGACACACAAACACACGCGCAAACACACACACGCCGAAACACGTATAAATACTTAGTTGTAGCCTACTTGCCAATCGGGAAGTCCCTTGAACCTGCCAAGTAGCCCCAAAACACCGTACGAAAAACAGGACCCTAGCAGAGACCGCTTGAAGCTTGTTTTGGAACCCCATGAGCCCCATCGTAGCTCAACGAGCGTCCCATTCTCCGCTCAGGTTCGGCTTTCGGAGGGCGAGGGCGAGGATCTGGGGTCCGCTACCATAGAGGTCGTGGTTATGACTACCGGCAATAAGGGCCTTAGACGGCTTTCATAAGGGCTTTATAAAGTTGGATGTAGGGCCAAAGTCATTCGTTTCATTTTCCTGCAGATTCCTGTGCGTTCCCTGGTATAAACTAGGCATATACTATAACCTATCCCAAAACCCTACCTTAACCCAGAATAACCTGCCTTTGGAGGGTTCCTTATTATGATTTCCTTGTATAAATCCTTAAAAAAGTAGGTTATACCGGGTTAAGGTATTTCTTTTGCCTTCGTTGGAGAGCCAGCCCATGGCCTTTTCAACGGAGCCAGGCTACCCCTCAATTCTATACTGTAGAGGCTTGAATATTTACCTATGCTATTTTTGGTGGTTCCTTGTTATAAGTATAGCATACTGGGCCCCAAAACCTCATTCCAATTATGAAGGCCCCTATATTAGCTGTTCTATGGAGTTTTAGCCCTTACTTTTGCCTGGCATTTGGGTGAGCCTCTTCTTCAGGATGAACAACTGCCGTTTTCGTGGATGGGCTTACACGGGGAACTCGGTGCCCTCAGTGTCTGTTGTGTTGATTGCACATCAGCAATCCGTTCCTCGATCCGCTAGGCTATTGAATCGTATGCCTGCAGAAAACGATGAATTCAGTGATGTTATGGAGTTTCAACATATTCTCGATTCCCAGGTTAAGGGAACAGGCACATCGGTCTTGTCATGCTGAACCACGCGAGGACGAAGCCCTGAAGAGGTGATCTGTGTTGAGGATCAGGAGGAAATCCAAAAGCCGGGTGCTCATCGGGAACAGAAAAAGGTTACCGAAACGATCCAAGGACATAGCAAGTAGGTTATAAGTAGAGGTAGATGTACCCAAAGTGGGAAGCTCTAGTTCTAGGCTGCTTAACTCTGCTCCAGTTGGGTTGAGCTTTGACCGTGGTGTGCTCCAATCCTTGCCTGTCACCGTTCATCCCAACACCAAGAAGTGTTCCTTGGATTGTGTTTTGGAGCTGTTGTGTAGCATGCGGGAATTGCGTTTCAACATGCCGCATTGCGCCCCTGCTTCTTCAGCTACTAAATTCAGAATCAGTGACCCTTTCGGCCGGCGCAAATACACAACTAAGTGTAGGTATGTACTACTTGGAGGGGTGTAGGAGCTTGCTGACAAATGCCCAGGTACTTGAGATGGACCACTTTGGTCGGGGCCTCTGCTACACACATGATTTGCCTCGGTTTTGAGAAGGGTTGAGAGTTGAGGCATCGGTGCTTCGAAGCATTTGTAGCTACTGTAACTCAGCCGCGAAAGCCATTTCATAAGGCGCGGTGGCAACCCCGGCCGTGCACAGGCTTTGCAGACTTCACTTTACCATTGTGGTGCAGTGTGGGATGTAGAGTGCTGGCAATATGCTCGCAAGCGACAGTCATTTCGGCTGATCAAAGGTCTATCTGACAGAAGATTTTTAAAGATATACGACTCTACGAGATATTCATCCAACATGCCGTTGCTGGACTCGCCACTGCTTTACCCAGCACCGAAGGTCCAGTGGTACACACCGACGCCGCGCAAGCCGAGCCACGAGAATCCCCTCGGCATCGTCTTCCCGGAGGATGCAGAGAAGGAGACCATGGTGACTGGAGCGCAGCGTGTGAGGGAAGGATCCCCTCCAGAAGACGTAATGGTCGTCAAGATCGATGGCGCACTGGATTTGCTGCCGTCTGACAACTTTGGGCCGCACTACTATTGCGCTACGGCGTATTACCCAGGAGAGGGTAATGAACAGATACATGCGAGAAAGACCGAATTCGCGGTCGGGAAGGCGAATCCCGCGCATCCTGACCTTGACAATTGCATGTTGCAGAAGACTGTTGTGGTACCGTACAATCGGAAGCAACAGCTCCTGATGGTGGAGATCCACGAAGTGGATCCCGAAGATTCAGAGGTGGAGGACTCCTTGATCGGCCAGGCAACACTACCACTGGCAGATCCAAAGATCGAGTCCTCGACAAACTGGCCGCTGTTTCGTGGCTTCGAATCCAGCGGCTCATTGGCGGTGCAAGTCCACATCCCCCAAGTGAATTCTGCGAGCACGAGAACGCTTGATTGTGCAACCCCATCCGTTTGCAAGCGCTCCAAGCGGAGCAATACTCCTCCAAAAGGATTTCCGGAGCCCGTGTCTCCACTCAGCCAGGCAGCGCCATACAGGTGCATGCGCTCCGAGCGCAGTGATACTCCTCCAGAGGGATTTCCAGAGCCCGTTTCACCATCCAGAGTAGCGCATCCAACCCTCCTGGAGAGTCTGCGCCATGGACAACAGACACCTGAGCAGAAGAAGTGCAAAGCATTCGACAAGGATATGCAGACACAGGACATGGGCTCCGCCAAAATCTTCACTGGTTGCGCACCTTGCGATGCGTTTCTGGAGTCCATGCGCAAGGGACCAGATTTGTTAGAGCACTCGCCATTGCTCAAGTCCCTGATGAGTGGCGTGGATCCCTTTGCCGATGTGGACATCCGTCTCCCCACCCAGGCCGGAGGCAACCAGCTTCAATCGTGCATCAGGCCAGACCAGGCACAGACGGCGTCAGCTGTCTCAGGCAATGTGCAACGCACACCTGCGAGCTACGTGCCAGCAAGGCCACACCAGAGCCACGTGCCGCCCCGCACAAACTGCAATCCAGTCCCCCTGGAGCCCCTGCAGCAATCGCTGCTTGGCACATCCAACCCAACCCGGACTCTGCACTACCGGCAGGCGAGCTACATGCCGCAAGTTGTGGGCTATAGCACAGTAAGTGCAACCCAGACTTCAACATACCATGTGCAGCACCGGCAGGCGAGCTACATGCCGCAAGCTGCAGGCTGCAAGCCAGTCATCCAGCAACAATCATTGCTTGGCACAGTCAGCCCAACCAAGCCTGCAAACTCAAGCAGTGCACAGCACATGCATGCAAGCTACATGTCGTCGCCGATGCCAGTAATGCAGCCCCCTCTGCTTGGCACAAAACGGCCAACCGATATACAGACGACTTCTGCTGTCTCCAGGAGCGTGCAGGCGATGTTCACGCTGCCGACAGCCATGGGAAGCTGCAAACCATACACTATGCAGCAACCGCGCGTTGGCACAGCCAGGCCAACACAGACCATGCCTGCATTCTCAGGCAATGTGCAGTACACGCAGATGCAGCCAGCGGGCACAAGAAGCTACCATCCCTTCGCTGGCCAGTACTACACATGCGCGAGATGAAAAACAGCTGTACTCTTGCAGTGGTTTTGCACGTGCAGAAGGGAAGGCTACACTCCAGTCTTGTGCAGCCAAGTGACGCCCTGCTCAGGTTGTCATGTTGCCTGTGCCTCATCCTTTTGGCATCACAGCGTACCAGGCGACGGTTTTTGCAGGTGGTTCACCTCCTAGGTCTTGTTGTGCTCAGGGCTTGCATGCTTCTAGGAAGTCAGGGTTATCAAAACTGGAAAACTTGACGTTCAGGATCAAAGACTCCTGCGAGAGCAAATGATATTGGCAGAATCGTACGGTAGCTATTTCTCAGATTCGACATTTGTGGAGTTCAGGCTTTTTGGGGCTAGGGCAGCAAACACCTTTTTGTCATGCTCGAGCTGACATTGTTATGCCGCACAATCCTGTAAGGCAAACTGGCGCGGGCGGACCCTCAACTTAAGGGATTCCTTTAAAGGCTCCTATAAGGGTTTAGATTTCAGGGCTTAGGACTAGGATAGACATGCGATCATGCTCCAGCACCGTCTCGTAAAATTCTTGTAAGCAGCCTATGCACCACGGAGACCACGACGATCGTCATAGTCACAGGCCTTGAGCGGCTGTAGCGCTGCCCATCGGCTGAGTCGCCTCGCCCCTTGCATATTCAGAGCTCGTTCGCCTGACAGGTCGTCATCTACCAATGAGCATTCGGTGCTGCGCCTCCAGAAAAAGAGCATGGAAATGCACGCAGATCAACAGGTTATTTTTGTAAAGCTCCTCTTTGGGTTTGCTGCTTCTACCTTTCTTGACGTTGGCTTGGCTGCCGCGTCCATGCATGGCCGGTAAGTGCTTG